AAAAACAGTTTGTAGGTCCTTTTCAATTTCAACAATTGATAGTTTGATTTGTTCATATTATCTGGTTTTCAAGATTGTCCTCTAATATGTCAAGGCCCATCTCTGTCTGGTAAAATAGAAGCTTAGGAAAGATTTCTGCATGTTTGCAAAAGAATCACTTTCCTCTCTATTTCTCTGTTATTTGAGTTGTACATAAGTTAAATTGACTCAGAATGTCCACATGTGTTTTAGTTGGGAGGTGTAAGTTCAATATTGTGAGTCCATTTGGTGAATAAAAGTTTCATTTGGCCAACCCAACACAGTGGAAGTTATCTAAGGTTAAATAACAGTGATTTTACCCTTTACATTCATCTCATGAAGAACCACAAGTTTCTCCACTGGCTGTTTCTGGAAAGTTGTAGACATTTGGTCACTGGGGGAATCCAGGCAGTCTTGTTTGTCCTGTATGTTGACATTTATGGTAGATCTTCTCCTTACCTTCATATTTCCTGTTTTATCTTCTTGAATTTTGCCAATCATCATTCCCCCCCCCCGCGCGCTTCCCTTTGAAGTGTACCAGGTACCCGAAATATAAATGCAAATTTTGAAGGGGAAATCCAGTTACAGTAGAATGAAAGGATACACCCTTTGTTGCCTGGCTGACTACAAAATAAAAACACAATTCAGCAACCCTGCAACTTTCTGTGACTGATATGTAAAGTTTAAGAAATGCTGTAAAACAGCCCACATTCTTTTCTATCTATGTATCTTACTGGATTTTGTGTGTGCATGAGAGAGAGAGAGAGAGAGAGAGAGAGAGAGAGAGGAAAATCCGTTATGTCAGGATAAAGTGTGCATTGCCAGAATAATGAAACATCTAGTTAACTGTGTGTTAAAAATCCCCATTTGGTATCTCCCATTGAATTAGTGGCCTGCCTTATGAACACTTAAGATGTGGTTAAGTTCTATTGAACTCAGCGGGAGTTACAGTACTTTGTAGAAATGCATAGAATTGCAGCAGTTCTTAACATGCACACAGAGACAGCCAAAGTCACATTTGTCTGCTTTCTGTCCAAGCAACTACTTCTGTGATGCAAAAGGTACATCTGAAGTTCTTACCATAGTTTATGCTGCAAGATTGTACTATTAATAAAAACAACTAGTGTTGTGAACACATTCAACTGCTGTGTTAATTGTATGTGCATTTGATGGACACTGCCCACAAAAGCTTTTGCCATTATAAATATTTTAGACTTTGCAGTGCATAACTTTATTGCTTCAGTTCTACAGTGGGAAAATAAATTTAAATCAAGTAGCTAAATTATACTTTTTCCTAGTAATTTTAAATAATTGTTGCATTTGGATTAAGTCAATCCACCCCCATACTTTAGTGACAGTGCAAACTATATTGAAAGGGACACTGAATGTACTGCTTAAGCAAACCACTTTGACATGTGTGGTGGTGGGGACAATGGCCCACAGCCCGGAAATGTTCAATATACTGTACATCCCAATCCAGAGGCATGGAGAGTACAGTAATAAGGACCATCATGTTAATTTACCATGCAAACGAAATGACAGCTTAAGATTTCCCAATAAAGATTTTGGAGCAAGAAATGCAAAATGTTTAAGCTAGATTCAGAAAAGGAAGAGGCATGTTTAATGGACCATACCAAAGAATTTCAGGGGGGAAAACAGTTTGCACTTTGTAGACTATAGTACTGTGTTTGACATCATGGATCATGAAAAGTGATGAATCATTCTGATGTAAATGGATGTGCCGTAACATTGGATTGTCCTAACATTTATACTGTTCTCTGGACAAAAAAAGGTCCTACAAATAGAACACAATATAGAGAAACAGAATGATTTCCATTTAGTAAAGATGTCAGGTGAAGGCGGATTTTATAATTCCCTGTCTCTTCAGCCTAAATGCAGAAAATCTATATGAAAAGTCAGATTTGGTTCAGATGATGGAGGAGTAAAGAAATGTTAGTAATTTAAGATGCAGAAGGCACTGTATTACTAACAAAAAAATTGCGGTGAGCAAAAAAAATGTCTGCTGAGCAGGTTTAAAGAAAAAACTGCAAAAGCAGGATTACAGTTGAGTATGAAGACGACCAGCATAGTGCCTACGGAATAATACAATTTTAATATTGATAATGAAAACATTGACTTTGTTAAGGATTTTATGTACCTCCATTTGATCATTAGTAAAAAAAAAAAAAAAGCAGGCTGCAGCTGAGAAAACAGAGGAAGACTAGACAGATGTGGAAAGACAGCTAGGGAGGTACAGTACTATTAAAAAATCTTCAGGTATAAGCTGATAAGAGAGCCTAAAACCAGGATAATCCATATTATGGTATTACTGATTGCTGTGTATGGATATGATTGCTGAACATTGGAGAAAGCTAACAGGGAAAAAGACTGAGTCATTCGAACTGTGATGTTGAAGTGAACTGCTAGAAAGACAGTTCAAACCCACCCTGAATTTTCCCTAGAAGTGAAAATGACTAAACTGAAGCTGCTGTTCACGGGGCACATCATGAGAAACCAAGACTTGTTGGCAATACTAACAGTTCTACAAAAACTGAGGAAGGTGGCAAGAAGAGGAAGCCTTAATGTGAGATAGATCCATTCAGTAAAGAAGTCACACACTTTAGTTTGCAAGACCTGAGCAGGGCTGTTACTGATAGAACTTTTGGAGGTCATTAATTCATGGTGTTGCCATAAGTCAGAAACAGCTTGACAGCTGAAAATGACAGTGTCGGTGAATACGTGATAGTTCTTGCAGCCATATTAAAAGAAGGTGCGAAAGCATCTTATGCACATGGTGTTAATGGTGCAGCCTATGAACAGTTCGACCTATGTTGTCCCTAGCTCTGGATTGCTCTTCCACTGTGACTGTATCTTTTGCCGGTGTTTATTTTTGAAGCCCCCTTACAGTCCCAGCCTTAGGCCTCTCTTGAGCTGTGGGCCAGGCCTGCTGAACAGCACAACACTTTTGCAATCTGAATACTCCACCCAGAATTGTCCCAGTGGGCAGGGCAGTCTCGGTGACTTCAGCAGGAGTTTACACATGAATGTTGGGAATGGAGCATCCCTATGTGCGGGCCAAACACATGCGTCTCTTGTCTGGTCTCACTCATGCCCTCCAGGAGAGAAATAACTTAGAAAATGCACAGAGTTGCCTTTGAGACACTTTCTTCTCCTTCTCCTCCCTCCACGCTTGCAATCAATCACAAGACCTTGAAAACTGCCTAGGGAATAGGGCTTCCTAGAATCTTAGGGAGAGAGTTGAGAGAGTACTTGGAGTAGGCAGCAAGGCTGGGAACGTAAAAGCAATGATACTGACTGCGTTCTTCACCCTTGGTGAATGAAAGGGTTCAGCATAGATCAGGTTGCCAAAATGTATATTGGCTCCTGCTTCAGTTTCTTTAATGCCAGCTGGATCAGTGGACAGCAGCACTGTGAGAATGTTTGTCTCCAGGCAATGAAAAGCATCACCTGTGATTTCTGGAAGTCAAACGGCTGTTAAAGGCACAGAAGTATGGCAAACTAGGTTTCCTCAAATAGACTTGAGTTGTCTCTCTTCAATCCTTTGTAAGTCTTCAAGGGACCTTCCAGTTTCTTCAAAAACGTTTTGATCCGAAAATTGAATTGTGTTTTATAGGACTTTAACTGTCTTAATGTTCCCCAAAGATTCCTGGAAATGTTCATGTGATATGCTGAGAAGTCTGCTGAATTTTTACTCCTCTTCCTTAGAACAGCAGTTCCCAGGATTACCGTATCTGGCAATAGGGGATGTACCATTGAATTTACTTCTATTAACTCCAGTTTAATGCCAGCAGTGTTCTTTTTCAAAACAAAGAGAGTAGAGCCGGGAAGTACCGGGTTTGTAAGCTAAGTTTTAGGAAAGTCACTAAAATAGTCTGGGCAGAAAAAGAGGAGATGCACTGGTGTTATTGATATCACTAGCCTGTGATATTCAGGCAACAGTATATTGCATTGCAATAAGAATGAGTGTCCTAACTAGAAGAATGACAGTTCTGCAGCGGCAACATTGCTGCTTGGAAGCGGGGAAATACTTCCTGGAGAGAAGACACCTGGATTTTGCATAAAGCATAAGCAAGAGCCAAATGTTCCTTGTGCAAAGAAAAGGACAGTCTAGAAGAGACGGAGCCCAAGCTGAGAATGTTCTAACTAGATTTGCTTGTCGGCTAGTATGATTATGACATCAAAGGTCCCTTGGCCAATGATAGTGACCCTGTTTTCTTTTTATCACTATTCTTGCTGATGGTGGCAGTGTTGGGGGGCTTCTGTTATGTTCAGCAGTTAAGCTCCATCAAGAGGGTGGAACGTCTGATCATTCTGGATGAGGAAACCGCCTTACTTCTCCCCGTCCGGGGGTTGAAGGCAGCTGATCAGAGATCTCTTTCGGTCAGGAAGGGCAGAATGAGGGAATTCTATCCCCAAAGCGGGAGGGCCCTTGAAATACCCACCAGCAATATTAGTGTAGGACACCCTAATCTTGCAAACTTTTATGGGGTTTTTTTCCTGGGAATTTTTAAAATCCTACAAGTGAGGGATAGAGAGGAAGCAGTGGGTGAGCCATTGTCTGGATTTATTATCTGGCCTTATCTGATCCTGTCCAAAAGTGGCTCTATTATCCCAGAGAGCTGATGCCAAAAGGAAATAAAGCACCCTTCTGTTTTCCACCTGCTCCCCCCTCTCCATCAAGCCATGTGGCACATGTATTGCACAGTTGGAACTTGCTTCCTTATTTCCTCAGTGACTAGAGATCAAAGTCTAGGAGCCTGGGAGAAACTGAAAGAAGGCGATGAGTGGGTGTGATGTAGGCACAATCCCACAGATCTCTGTGCTTCTGTCATGTGCTTGGAAGTCTTTTCCCCACTAACGGTTTTAGTAATGGTCTTAACATCTTTTAAATTCTTTTCCACAAGGCATTTGGTCCTTTCCAGACCCAATGAGTCAATTAGTTTTTCTCTCTTGTCCTGCAGCCTTATGTTTCAGTGGCCCAGCAGATGGCACCACCGAGTCCCAGTGGCAGCAACAATAACAACAGCAGCAGCAGTGGACCTGGCGGTGGTGGTGGCGGCGGCGGTGGCGGGGATCAGCTGAGCAAAACAAACTTATATATCCGGGGCTTGCACCCAGGTACCACAGACCAGGACCTCGTCAAGTTGTGCCAACCGTAAGTTGCCAGGACCTAGATGTTGAAGGGAAATGCTGTGCTGGCGTGGGAGAACAAACATTGAGGGACTAGTGATTGTTTAGTGCCCACACACGGAACTCCCACGGTAGATCTCCGCACAGCGCCTCAAATAAAAAACATAGCCTTCCTGGAGACTTTTTTTAAATCCTGTGTTCTCAGGGAGTTGAGAATTTGGGATGGAAAATTCCAACCACATTACAGGGGAGGATGCTTGAAACCACACCTCCCAGCTGACTTTATAACCTGAGTCTCCACTCACCTCATACAAGGAGACTCAGCGCAAACATTTGCCCTGAATCTTTGAGACTCCGAACCTGCAGTTTTCTGCACTATCCATGAAGGAGGGTTCGTGCACAGCCAGAAGAAGTGAGATTTTGCTCATGAAAACTTGTAATTTGTGTGATTCAACAAAGGTATCACCCTACTCCTGCATTTGTGTCATCCTGAACCACACAGCCTTTTCCTGATTCTCTCAGAGAAGGATCCCACGTATTGCTAGACTACAATTTGTATGAACATAACCAGTGGTGAGGATGATGAGATTTGCAGTCCAGGAACATTTTGAGGGCCATGAATTGTCTATCTTTATTGGGAGGTGTTTCAGGGGAAGAAAAACAAGACAGAACCCTAACAATACAAGTGATGATGACCACATTAATTAGGAGACAGGGGGCAAGCATGCAGCAGATTTAACCTAGGGATTGTTGGATGGGAATTCTGCTACCATCCAGCTATGGCAGGAAGTTTAAGTGAATCCATAAAGAAACCTTAGCGATGGCAAAGCAGGACAAACCAGGCTCCAATCACACTCACTTACTTGTTGAAGATAAGCCACAGAACGCTGTTTCCTGTGGGGCTACCTGAAAACAGCTGTGAAACTGCCTGTTTCACAAGTCCTGCGTTAATGCGATTCCTTGCATTAAACCAGGATGTGGAGCAGCTGCTGGCCAGACAGTGTTGGGAGCCTTCCTACCACTACTGACCGTGCCAAGGCCACGGCAGCTTTGCTTGCTCACCATCTGGGGGGAAAAGGAGTCACTCGAGCTTCCCCCACCCCTGGCAGAAAAAAATGCTGCCAACCAACCAGTGCTGAGGGGGTCTGGGAAGCCTCCTTGGCACGGGCTGATCGGCAGCAATGCCAGCGGCTCTGTCTGTGCTGCATGTTGAACCCCGACCCTGGTTCAGTGATGGGAGCCCTGGTGTGGTTTAAAAACAGCGCCAAGGTGCACTTTTCAAAACGACACTAGGGCTGGCATCAGGGGCAGAGGCTGAAGAAGCTGCTGCAGATTCCCTTCGAACCTTCTTTTACGTGTAGTTACAGCCCTCGTGTCTGAATCCAGGTCTCTGTTCCACAGCCTTGTCTCAGGAGGACCCGGTTTCACTCCCTCTACCCCTGAGACTTGACAGGATTCTGTGGCTCCTCGTGAGAGCGTGGAGGGCTCTCGATCCCAGCCCTGGGGATGCGGGTAACCCCAGTGGCCGCTGCACCCCTTGCCATGGGTCTCTGCTGTCCCATCGTGGACTTTTGTCATCAGCCATCATGCCCTGGCATTGCAGTATGCTACCCCCTGACACCATGAGGAGAGCTTGCCAAAGGGTTAGTTTGTTGGACTACAGCGGCCAGAATCTGCCGGTCAGCAGTCATGCTGGTGGTGGGGGATGTTCAGGGAACTCTAGTTCAGAAAAGGAACTTTTCTGAGCCGGGACCATGAGCGGCCGAGAGAGGTGGTCAAAGCAGGTGGCCTGATACCTCTGCTCTCCCCTGGTCTCCTGCGCCCTGTCGGTGCCTAAGGGTCTCCCCAGGGAAGAAGGCCTCGAAGGGTGTTCCCCTGCTGGCCGGGGCTTTCCCTCCTCCTCGGCTTCTCTCTCGACTTCTCCACTCCTGGCCTAAAGGAGTCTGAGCCAGCATCTAGCGCTTTGACGTGAGGAGGCCGTGAAGGGGGGGGCGGGAAAGGGGCTGTTCCTCGTTCACCTCAGCTCACCCCAGCCGGGAATGCTGGATCCAACCCCAAAGCCACACTTGACAAACAGGGCTGTTTCAAACCAGGAATCTGCCAGTTTGAGTGTGAGGGAAGGGGTGGTGGACAGAGAGCAGCAGGCCGCTGAGAGCAGGGGGAGGAGATGGGGAAGGGAAAGGGAAGCCGGTCATTGTGCTGTGGGTGGCTGGGAATGGGAAATTTGTGGGCTGCCTCTGTGTGTGTGTGTGTCTCCGTCCCCACTTTTGCCTTCAGTGCCCTGCCTAGAGTGCCTCTATTCCCACCTCTGCAAAGCAAGGATCTCCCTCTCCCCCAACCACTCCTTCAGCCAGAGATTCCCCCCCCCCAGACAAACGTGCACACGCACAGGCCATAACTGCAGGCGATTCAGCCTGAGCTGTCCCATTCTGAAACCTTGCAGCTGGGTTCCCTCGAGTCCTGGCTGGGAGGAGGCGCCAGGACTTGGCTGTTGTTGGCGGCGGTTGGATTTCCTGGGCTTGTCCTTTCCTGGGCACACAAGCAAGAGTGGATATGCAACTCCTAGGCAATATCAGACTGTTCAATCATAGTAGAAAATAGTAACACCTCCCAGAATGGAGAATCATAGTATTAATATTTCAGAAAAAGCTGAAAAATCTCGTGGAGGGCGGCGGGGGGGGGGCGGCAGCAGGAATTGCGTTAGGCTCCCGTACTATCTTCAAATGACAAACTAGATTTCAGTGATTGCATTCATGCCGGGCTTTTTTGGGAGAAGACTCAGGATATCACTAGCAGGGGGGAGGGGAGGGGTGCCCTGTTTCAGTAATTGGAAATTGCCTCAGAATAAGTATATGTATAGATGGGCTGCCCTTTACATTATAATCTCTGGAAGGAAGGCTTACCCTTGGGAGAAGAGGCTAACAGATACGAAACTATTCACTGGAAGATTCAGCCACAGCAATTACAGCCCAAATGCACTTTTTAATTGTTTGAAGCTCTTGGTAATATCTCGGAGCATGCTGGGATAACTCTCAAAGATTCAGAACTCCTCAGATTTTTAATGTAGAAGTGATTCAACTATTTGTATGATTGTAATACTGGCTCTTATTATGCAGACTCTGTAGTTTTTACATGCTTCTTACCATACTGTGCAAGAATGGACTTTATAATCTGATGAGAAACTGGAAGAGCAACAGCACTGCAAAAAGGCCAAATTCTAACATCTTAATTTTGCAAATTTGCGTATATTATTTTTCATGCTTTATAACACTTCTGTCACCAATTAGGAAGGAAAGATAGGCTCAGACCCTTCAGTAGTCCTGCCAAGCAATCTTTGGCTTCTGTTATTTATTTAACCAAAGTTTATGCTTTTTACTCATCTCACTGGGGGGGGGGGACAGTGTGTAGCCTGCATTACTAAATTGTAAACTGCCCAGAGAGTGCTTTAAGCACTATGGGGCAGTGTATAGGCAGCACACTTTTAAAAACTTTTCTCTACCATCATAAGGACTAGGAACTTGTGCTTCCATTTTTCCTTTCTCCATCAGATTTTTAATTACCATACCAGGTTATTATATTTCACCCTTGACAGTATAGTTGCAGACATGCATGATGTATGTAATCCAGTTGCAACAGTTGCATCAGGCCAGCATATCCGCCCCCCCCTTTTTTTTGCAATGACCTGATTTCTAGCCTGCCATTCATTTTCTAGTTAGGACTTGTGCCCGGGAACTTTTTTCCCAGCACCCCAACTCAATGTGTTTGCCAGATGTCAGGGGCGAATCCCACCGCATGGAGGACTCCAGCATTTGAAGGAGAGCTGTTCTGTTTGTAAATGCACTGGGACAAGCATGCCTATGTGCTGCGGTGGTGTCGTTATCAGGGGCTCCCTGGCACCTACCAACCACATACCTCATGACTTCAAATGTTGTGAGCATTCGGTAGGAGACATGTGAGAACCGAGCATCAGTTCTTTACTATGTGAAAAGGTCAATGGACTTCCGTTCTAGAATGAGAAGTCCCCCTGATCCCCTCCTTGCCTCTGCAGAGCTCAGGGGTTTTCAACAGTTGCATGTCCAGCAGAAATGTTCCTAGGTGAAACGGTTTCCCCTGTGGAGAAGCCATGAGGGGAAAGTGTCCCTGGGATGTCCTTCACCCCACCCCAGTTCTTCCAATTTCCAGAACAGGGTATGAGCTGCCAGGGTAGCGTGCAGGAGCTTTTCCCAGGCCTGAGGGCTGGTGCTTCTCCTTTTGGGAATTCAGCACCATCTGGGCAGGTGAATAGCCAAGGAATTACACAAAGTGATGGTGGTGGTGGTGGTGGAGGAGGAGGGACGTTCTAACCACTAGCTTTTTAGATGGCACAACAGAGAAGGGCATTTTGGGCTCATTTCTGTCACTGTAGGAATGGTGTTAATCTCTTCTTTACTCTGATGCTTTCTCTACACCCGCAGATATGGCAAAATTGTCTCCACCAAGGCCATTCTGGACAAGACAACCAACAAATGCAAAGGTAGGTGCAGGCTGCGTCCTGCCTAGTTGGCTCCATGTGGGGAGGTTCTCTGTGCAGGGCATGAAAGGGAAGGAAGACACAGGCCCGGTCTTAAGGCTTGGATTCCTGGAAGTCTGCTTGAAGTTGGGTGGGGGCAGGGGTGGAGGGGAAGAGATTAGGAGCCCCGATGTTTGACTACATTCCCCCCCCCTTTCTCTCCATGTGCTGTAGTCTTAGAATTAGCCCTCCCCTCCACCCCTTGAATAATATTTCTTCACAGAATCCTGGCAGTCTCAGAGGCTTTTAATTCTGCACATGAAGGGGTGGAGGGAAATAAAAGACCAGGATTGGACTCTAGAGCTAGGCTGGGGTGGGGAGGATGGGTTCTGTCTGGGAGGTGGGGATGGGTTATCTGTGTGGGAGGGGTGGTGCCAGTGGGGTGGGTGGGGAGTTGCATTCCTCTCATGCCAGACATTGCTGAGGGGAAGGAAGGAGGAGCATCCGCTTGGAGCAAAACCTTGCAGAGGGGCAGGGGAATCTCTCTGCAGCCTTCGTCCTGTGAGTGCCAGATACATCCCCTCTCACTTTCCTACCAGGGTGTGCTAACCCATCTGGTGACATGAGCTGAGTGTGGACCTTCTGAACTTCTGATGGCCTGGTGTGTGCTAGAGGGTGCGATGCTGTAGGGATCAAAAAGTGGGGTGTGTGGGAGGAATGAAAGGGGGTTCACTGTGCCCTAGAGGTATGCTTCCTAGTAGATAGGCCTCGATAAGGCATGTATGAACCTGAGGAAAGCAGGGTGTGGGTCATCTTGAGGGCAGCTGCTTTACCTCAGAAGCAGGATGGTAGGGGTCTGCCTGCCAACCTCTCATCTTCTTCATCCTACAGGCTATGGCTTTGTGGATTTTGACAGCCCCACAGCAGCCCAGAAGGCAGTGACTGCACTCAAAGCCAGTGGGGTACAGGCCCAAATGGCCAAGGTAAGTCCTGTGTCCCAGTGTCTAGAGGAAGGGACAATGTTCAACAAAGACACCTTCCAGGGTAGCACTGGGACATGGATAAAATTAACCCCAGGCTAAGATTAATTCTCTACAACTTTGCCCTGCTCAGGCAAAGTCTTCCCCCAGGCCATTTACAAATAGATTTTGCAGCAGCCCTTTATATGGTGGAACAGTGCTGTGGAAGTTCTTTTGCTATATCTTCATTGCATTGTGTTGTGGACATATTTAAAGTGCACCCTTGATCCCTCATAATGTGGGGTTAATGTGATGGCATGTATTCTGTTGACCAAAAGCAGGCAACACAAACTTTGCTGGTAGGTTGCTGGAGCAGAAAGTGGAGTTACTTCTGTCTTTGGCTGTTTGTGAGGCCACGTTCAGGTAACTCACAGGCAGAGCAAGGACAGCAGCCTGCATCTGAATGGGTCCCAGTGTTGTGTATCTCCATCCAACCCCAGGTATGGGAAGGCTAGTTCCATTAGAGGCACCCACTATGAAAGACCAAAAGATGCCAGGACTCATCCTCCCATGAACCTTTGTGAGTCCCAGACAACCTTGGGACTCACACAGTGTGTTGGAAAGGTTTCCTTTCTCCTCAAAGCAGACTTGGTTCAAGAGGAGCAGGAAGGTAGGAAGGGCTCCTCTGAAACCTCCTTGTTTTTTGGGGCTCCTACTCCTTGAATTCTGTTTTGGGAGTTTCAGGTAAATTCTGAGAGCAGAGGTCTTGAAAACCCAGAAGTCCACCCCTATCTATAAGTGCTTCACGCACAGCCATGTCTGCCATTCCCTTGCTGTGTCTCTGGTGTGGGAAACTGGTGCAACATCTTTGCCTCATCTGCTTCCTGATGTGGATGTACAGTCTGGCTCCAAACTGTGGATCCCTCCCCAATACCTGTAAATCCCAAGACTCAGCACTTCCTTTAGTATCTTAAAAAGTGATTTTTCTCAAGAAGGCTGCCCCAAGCATAACATTATGACTGTTTTTTGCTTTGCTTCCTTCGCTGCCTCTCTTGAGAGTGTGCCTTATGTGCAGGGAAGTTGCGGAAATGCCTGGTGTCATGGGTGATTCAGGCAGACTCTGCATCAGAGAAGAGACGGGGCAGTTGGAAACCAGTGGGTCCCATGAGGTGGGGTGGACTGGAGCTAGGCAGCAGCCTAACGTCCTTGCTTCCATAGCAACAGGAGCAGGATCCTACCAACCTCTACCTGTCAAACTTGCCTTTGGGCATGGACGAAGCCGAACTGGAGTCGATGCTAAAACCCTTTGGACAAGTCATCTCCACACGTATCCTGCGCGATGCCAGTGGCACCAGCCGGGGAGTTGGCTTTGCCCGGTAAGGAGAGTGGGTGGGCTCTTTAGTTCACCTGTCCACTTCCTTGTGCTCCAGTCCTTCTCACAGGTGTGGGCTTTCCACACCTGCTAACCTATCTGACCTGATTGGGGCCACTTAACACAGAGGTACTGCCTAGTGCAGATCTGGTTGGGCACTCTTCATTGAGAGACATATTCCTTTGACTCCTCTGTCATCAAGGCCCTCATGGCTGACACAGCAATCAAGATAGTTATCCACTAGTCACCTGTGCTGTTCCTATGGATGAGAGCCTTCTCGATCCACATGCTTTTATCCGAGCATTTGTTTCCAATAGGGTGTTCACAGAGGCACTGGCTTGGCCAGGCTCTCCCTTTTGTGTGGAACATTTGCAAGGAAGCTGAACTATCCTTTTCTTTACCACTGGCTTTATTCTGTTCAGCAAGCAGACGAGCGTCCTTTTCCCCACAGCCCTCCAAAGTAACATACTTTAATATAGAAGTGAGCAACTTGTGGCCTTCCAGAACTTGCTAAACTGCATCTCCCATCATCCCTGACCATTGGCTGTGCTGATCATCAGGCAGTCCAACAACATCTGGAGGCCCCAAATAGCTCATCCCTGGTTTAATGCTTCTCGCCATATGAATCAGGGCCATTCTGTCCTGAGTTTTCCTGTTTTTCCCATGGGAACTATTGGCATGAAACCCAGATTTGCCATTTGATAACAGCACTTCACACAGGGAGGTGTATCAGACGTGTTGGTTGTAACATCTGAGCAGGCTCTTAAGAAGAATTGCATACAAGGAAACTGGTCAAGTGGTTGGGCTAAAAGCAAGTAAGCAAACAGTGCAAGAGACTTAGGGGCCCATAGAAATGGGCCAAAACCGAAGGGGTCCAGTTGAGGTTGGAAATGTGGGGCACAGATAGAACTGGCAATAAAAACACATTTGTTGTGGGCAGGCACTGCTGAGGAAGGATTTGTTTTGTTTTGTTTTTAAATCCTACAGAGCAGAAAGGGTAGATTTGGCGCTTGGCATACACATTATCTTCTTCCCTAAAGTCCTGAAAGCTCACTGAGAGGCATTGGCCAGGCTGCACAAGTACTTTCAGACGTGGTGGTCCTGGGCTGCGTAGGCGGTAGCTGAGTGGAAGGCTGACTCAGTTCCCCGCTCTCCCCTTGATGGAGGGATGCTAGCTTGCTCCTTTCTCCTGGACTATCCTGTGATGCCCCCTGCTGCCGAGTTTGCCTTTTCCTCCACTGTAAGCTTGGCTTCTCCTGGTTCCTGTCCACGCTGGAGTGTTCTCCCATCCTCAGCAAAACTATGAACTGCCTCACTCCCTCAAGTAGAATTAGGAGCTGTAGGACAATAAGGGTTACTCAATTTAAAATTCCATCACTGCTGGCATTTGGCTTCTTTGTTCCGGGTGGGATAGGAGATAAGAGAAGGGCAGTGGAGGTTTCCAGGGGTGGGGTCGGTGGGCATAATCTTTTAGGGAACTCACTCATCTTTCCTGCCTGATACCACCACCACCACCACATGTTACAGCCCATCCCTTATTCTTCCCCTGTCCTTCTGGCTGCCTGTACAGCTGGAAGGGATTGTAGGAGTCAAGTATACAGTCATCACAGCATAGTAGTGTGTAAACAGTGGCTAACAACCTCCCATATTGCTTTTTTTTTTGGTTGCCAAGCCTGTTCCAGGATTAGACCTTGTACTTTTCTGTTCCATTTTAAAGTCATCCCAGGCAAAAGTTCCTTGTCCGTGTGGTTTTTCTAGGTCGGATCCTTTGGCAGGGCTCCTGTAGAATCCCTTTCATGGGCTCAGTTCCAAGAACGTCAAGTTGGCAGCTAATGCTCCTGGGCAATGCTCACTAAATCACTTATGAGTGTGTGATTTTGAAATCAGATTGGAGAGACTGGCCGCTGGATTTCCATTAGTAGCGTCACACCTACGTAGCATTCCTACCTTACTTGCTGGCACAGTTCCTGTCGATGACAAGCAGAAGTGCAACCCATTGCCATTGTGTCATCTCTGCGTTTCACTGCCGGGGAAAGGGCTTTGCAGCAGATCTTTTAACCATAGAAGCGAACCAAAGGAAGGGACAGCTCCTCATCGACTCCTTTTTCAATTCCCGTGTCGCAGAGATGTTCTGTGATTGAAATCAACTAGACGTAAATTGTCTGTATTATTGTTGTATTGCTGCAGAAGCTCATGTCCTCCCTTTCTTCTTTGGTTTCATTTTCTTCACCCGCAGGATGGAGTCCACGGAAAAGTGTGAAGCTATCATCACCCACTTCAATGGCAAATATATCAAAACGCCCCCAGGAGTACCAGGTGAGGGAGAAAAGGGGCACAGCCCAAGGGGGGGCATGTAGCATACCATGGATTAACAAGGATAGCAGCTGGATTACGACATGGCCTTCAGAGGCATTTTCCACATGCAGGCAGAGTGATGAGATAAAGCTTTCCTGCGCTCAGGGACAGCCAGGGTTATTTGTCTTCGCCATTCACAAATCAAATAGTTAGATGGATAAAAAAAGAAGAGGTCTGCCTTTTTTATAAAAAAAAAGGTGAATAAAGGGAGCTTGTGAAGAGAGCAAAACCTTCCTTTTTACAGCTAGCCTGTTCCCCTACCTCTGCTTGTTACACTCTGTTTGCTTCAAGAGCGATTCCTTCTCAGCCTCCATCCCTTCTGATTGTCATGGTTTGCCCAGCTTGGAGAAAGGCACAGAGCATTTTGCAGAGCTTGGGGAAAAATTATAAAAAAGTTTGGATGTTTGCCTTCTAGAATTTCCCAGCCAAAAGGCCTGAAGGATTCTGGGAGTTGTTAAGAAAAAAAAAATAACAATTCTCAGGTTTAGCATGTTAGTTTGGTAGTGTAACACAAGATCAATGTGTATGAGGATTTGGCTCACTTTTGGCTCACCTGCCCCACCCTTTAATTGTAAAAGCATCTCCTAGCTTACTGTTTTGTACACAAATGGGGCAGGTCTGTGGCTCACATGCCCCCGTCCCCTCCAGGTTGCCTGTTTGTCTAGAGTATGGCAAGGGGAAGGTACCTACCTGTTTCTTTCACCTCTTGCCAACAAGACCTTGGAGCCAAAGGGAATGAAACAGGGGCAGTTTGTGGGGGAAGCAGACAATGGTGCTGAAGAGGGCAGTGGCCAGGGCAACGGGGGATCATGTGGGCAGCGAGGGAGGCTCTTGGATTCTAGACTATTCAGAGCTGGCACTATCCAAAAGCATGCTGCTGTCAGGAGCGAAGGGTCATCCTGGGGGCACGGGCATGACGGGGGACAGGTTCTGGGTGGTTCTAGTCCAGAAAAGTAACTTTTCCATGATGTGGAGCTGGAACAGAGCTTGAAGTGGAATTGCAGGAATGAGGGTGACGGTCATGGTTAAGAGGTGACCTTTGGTTTCGGATGAAGTACACTGACGGAGCCAGCAGGGATGAAGAACATCCCCAGAACCAGGAATGGTCTCGGTCCAGAGCAGTCGAGAATCTCCGCTGTAACCCCGTGTTTTCTCCATCTACAGCGCCTCCAGATCCATTGCTTTGCAAATTTGCTGATGGTGGACAGAAGAAGCGCCAGAACCAAGGCAAATATGTGCAGAACGGACGCGCCTGGCCACGGGAGAGTGACACAGTAAGGAGGGGCCGGGTGAAGCAGGAAGCAGAGAGGCTTCAGCAGCCAGAGAGCAGCCCTATTCTTCCACGCATAGGTTTTCCAGCCTGACCCTCCATTGCGAATCCATGTGGATCGGTCGAGGGTGTGTGTGTGTTCAGGGTCAGGGGAGTGGTTACATTGTGTCTCTGCCCCCGCATTGATTTCTCATCACAGTTCTGAGCAGTGGAAAGGGCTTGTCTCTTCCCTCAGTGCTGGTGTGGCGGCACCTGAAGAAGGAGCTGGCAATCTGGACTGGGAATGACTATGGGCCATATTGGGCTTAGAGGCTTTAGGAGGTTGACTGGCTGCACCGTTTTGCCTGCTGGGCTAGTTGGAGGCACAGTTAAAGGCCCACCAAGCAAAGTGAGGCTTGCCCACTCCCCTGACGGATTGCTTTGGAGGGAATCTCTGGTGAGTCAGCAGAAGAAGAGGAGAAGTAGCTCCATAGATGAACTATCTGTTATTTCCATGCAGGGCGGGATGACCTTGACCTACGACCCCACAACTGCGCTACAAAACGGGTATGTCTTTTGTCCTCCCTGTGCTTTCACATCTTTATCGAAATATTTTAGTAGAGGGACCAGTCCTTCTTCAGAGGCTCCGTACGTGGCCTTGTGGGGAACAGGTGACGTTTCAGCCATCTCTAAATCTTTGTACAAACCTTTAACTCTTTCTTTTGTAGGTTCTACACAACACCCTACAGCCTGGCCCCTAATAGGATGATTGCCCAGACTGCACTCTCTCCTTATCTCCCATCACCTGTTTCCTCTTACCAGGTAGGTGTCTGTCCCTTACTCACCTGCCCTGTATTGGCCTTAGATTTGGGCTACCGAGAGAAACAAGACCAAGGAAATAGCTCTGTAAGGAATTGTGAGAAAGAGATAGAAGCTGGATTTGCCCCCATTCCATTCATTCGAATGAATGAGTGAGTGAGTGAGTGAGTGAATGAATGAATGAATGAATTTGCTTAATTTGAACTATATACATTAACTAAATTCCCTACATAACATTGTTCTTGCGGTTGATGAAGATGAGATACAAGGGCTGGGAAATGGTGCGGCATCCTGGTTAAAAACTAAACTAGAAGATGTATTGATTTGAATCCAGTTATGTAAAAATGGAGACTATGTCAGTACATCTGCTTTTGAGAGTAGAAAGGGGCATGTGGGTGGCTGAATGTACTACATTCTTGCCTTTCTTATGTCTTTCCTACCTTCTGTCTCCTCGGATGCTTTTCTTTCAAGCTAATTTTGGATACAAGAAATGAAGACTGAAGTAACAAGTGTTTTGAGGGGAAAGGCGAATGGCAGGGGTTGTTACTCTAACCAGCACATCCTTTTTATAGTAAAAATAGGGTGTTGTCATCCATATTGTTATGTGACTAGGGATATTTTTGGGTTTAAAACAACTTTCCCTAGCTTGGGTCCCTTCAGGTGTTTTGAGCCTGCAGCTTTTATCAACTATACCCGATGTGACCAAAGGTCAGAGGTGAGGAGGGTTATAGTCAGAAACATCAAGAGGCACCCATACTGGTGGAGGCTGGTTTAGGAATATAGGTCACCTACTGTCATAGCTAGTTTGGACTTAAGATTCTGAAATAGCAAACCAGGAAGTCCATGCTTTGAATTTAGCCACAAATTCACTACATAGCTTTAGCCTCAAGCCACCATCAACCACTCTGTTACCAACAGTGTAGAGCTACCAATGTTGATCTAGCTTTCTGGTCTGTTTTAGGGATTACTGGGGAAGTACATCTGAAACGTCCTGTATAAAGGCTCATTATTCTTACTCTCCTTATCTCTAGGTTCACAGCCCATCCTGGATGCACCATCAGTCATACCTCATGCAGCCCACGGTGAGAACCTTTCCATCAGAACTGTTTCCGTAGAATCCCTCTCTAAGGACATTTTTGTAATCAACTCATAAGAGTGCCTCTTGATTGGAAACTGTTCTTTGTGAATGCAAGTGCAGAAGCCAAAATATTGTAGCCCCCCACCTTGAACACTAACAGATTTATTTCAGTGTGAAATAAATGAAATCAATTTATCCACTGAAATAAATTCCATTGAATTAAATAGTCATAGTAGGTTATATAAAAGTATGTCATTCTAAACTATTGCACAGATATAGTACTCTTAAGGGCGCTTTTGTTTTTATTGTGGCCAAAAGAGACGTAATAGAGCCGCCTCTCTGAATCCTGCTTTGTGAATGCAGGTTTCTTCTGATCTTACTTCCTGTACAACCTATCCTTTGAGGCTTATAACCCTGTACAGAGACAACATCGCCACCATGGATTGCTCAAGGCCCTTCAATAAACATGCCTCTTGCTTTGTCGCCCTCTGCCCAAAAATCTGTTTCTGATCTTTCTTTCTTTCTCGTTTTGCCAAGCAGGGGACAGTGCTGACACCTGCCATGGATCATGCGATTTCCATCCAGCCCACCTCCATGATGGGGCCCCTAACCCAGCAGCTGGGCCACCTGTCCCTCAGCAGTGCTGGCACGGTGAGGAAGTCCTTTCCTTTGCCCCTGCTCCTTCTCTCTCTCGGGGGGGGGGGAATATGTACCCGTGCCTCCTGCATCCTTTGACCTCTCTCCATCTTTGTCCCCTAGTATATGCCAGCAGCAGCAGCTATGCAAGGAGCCTACATCCCGCAGTACACACCTGTGCCTTCCTCTAGTGTCACCGTTGAGGTGAGAGTCCCTGTTGTTCTTTCGGTCTCAGTGGAGGACTGTTGCACACACAGAGAGAGACGCCACTGGGGTGTTGCGTGTTTACTAGGATGAAACAGTTCATCCAGGTCAATCTACAACCGGAATGTTTAAGTGGTAGAGAAGAGGGTGTTGTATTTGTATACAAATATGAAGCCTGCTGGTACAGATGGCCAGCTTTATGAACACTTACACCCAGAACCCACCAGACCATTTACGATGTGGTGCGCACGGCCAGCATCATCTTCTGCACCCCACTTGCAGCAGTAGCTCGGCTGCTGCAACCCCGACTTGCTGCTCACCCAACCACTCAGCGGCTGAGCGGAGAGACTCCTCCTCCTGCCCCTTTGCCAGAGTGGCTGGGTGAGCAGGGAGGTGGGGCTGCGGCAGCTGAGTGACTGCTGCAGTTTGGGACGCAGATGATGGTGCCAACCACATGTACTGCGTGGTAAGTGGTTGGGTGTGGTCTGGAGTTGAGTGTTCTTCAAGCCAGCCACCTGTGCCAGCAGGCTTTTTTATTCATATACAAATACGAAGCCCCCATCTCTGTTAGGTAGGCACCCTGATTTTCCACTGATGCAGTCTTTTATACTTAACTGTGCTTAAAGCAAGGGTGGCTGGCCTCCAGAAAGCACATGGATTTGGCCACGGGGGGAACCTGAGGGTTCCCTGTCAGTGCTGTCCATCTGACTGCCAGTGACAAGAGGCAGGTGAAGAGAAGGAGCTGCAGGGGTAACCTGGCTAGCGCTTGGAGGCGGGACTCCTCCGAGAGTGGGCCAGAGGGAGACACGAAACAGGCATGTGACAGGAAGGGAACCTCTTGTTTGGGAACAGATTACTGGAGAATGCAAGTTTCTTCCAATCTTGTTTCCTGTATGTACAGTCTACCTCTAGGGCGTTGGGCTTATTTCATGCCAGTGTCTGCCATGCCTTGCTTTTAGAGGCATTTTAGAGACGTGTCCCATGCAAGCTGCGACACGTGCAGACCGCTCTGCACTATGAATCCCTGCCAGCAGCACAGGTGGCAATAGAGACTCCTCTGTCTGAACTTTGGCTGCTCACTCTTTTGTATGAGCCAAAGCAAGAAAAACAGGAAGAGGAACTGAACAGCAGAATAAAAAAGGAGGGACGGGCTTTAGGAATCAGGGCCTGTGGTAGCAGCGGTTAGCTGGGAAGCTCCCAGAGGTTGGACTGAGCCAATGTCTAGAGCAGAGCTCAGGAAGGCTCCTCTCTTTTTTTTGAACTAGAACTCGTAGAATACCCCAGCCATCATGGCTAATGGCCGTCCCTCCTTGCTGGAGGATCTAAGGGGCTGAATGCCCAGATGTAACCAGGCCAAGTTCTGCTCTAGAGTAGTAGCACTGCAGGCTCTAGAAACATTGTTTGGTGGGGACAAATGTGTGAACTCATTTTCTACACAAACCATGGACTAGATAGACCCTGATCAGTGGAGTAGGGTGGAAAAGTCCAGGGACAGTGTGTCAGCCACTGCAATTCCCCCAATGGGTATTTCATCGCAGGAGAGCAGTGGCCAGCAGAGCCATGTGACAGTGGAGTCCCCATCGGATCATGCTGCCTACTCGTATCAGTACAACAAGTAACAACAGGTAAGGCTGCTGGGGTAGAAAGGGGGCAGGGGGGGCAGTGAAGAGTGATGTAAGGGGTGATAGACTATGTGACTCTCCCCTCCTCTGCAGGGCTGGTCCAGGTTTTATCACATTCCTGGCTGCCAGCCTTCTCTGTAAAGGCTGGGCATAGACTTAAAGCGCTGTGGCCAGTGCCCAAGGATGCCCACTTTGGGACTGATGCAGACCCACAAAGAGAGGACAAGTCCACCATTAGGCAGAACAAAACGGTTGCTTCCTGTTGGCAGATGCCAGGTGGCATGGAGGATGCAGTGGTGGTGGCGGCAGCCCCCCTGGTCCTTCCCTTCTGTGGAAAGACCGTGTTGTGTGTTCCCCCGAGCCCTACTCTTCACCCGTTGAGCTACCGTGCTGCTGTCCTCAGGGGTGCAGGAGAGGATGCTCTCCCATCACCGGTGCTGAAGATTCAGTTGCTGTTCCTCGGGTCAGCTTCTGTAGGTGGAATGGATACAGGGGACCTCCCTGTTCCTTCACTGAGGCACTGACATATCTGGTGCCTGCCTTAGGACACCCGCAGAATAAACGCATAAAAGAATTGTTCCACTTCCCGATAACAGGGAAAGAGAAGTTGGATTCATCATTCCCTTGCTTCCCCTTCACCAGTGGATGGGCACCTCTCACGTTAGTGGACCCTCTTTTGAGAAGCAGCCAAAGAGCGAAAGCAGCTCCTCCTCTCACACACTGAGAGCAGTCCAGTGTCAGTGGCTCACAATGTAGGAGGGAGAGCAGGGAACTCAAAAGTTAGATCTTGGGATAACGACCCTGTTCTGTGGGCAACTCAGGTCAGTTTTTAAATTCTCTGACTGACTGCAGTAGGCAGGAATCACATGCATCATCAAGCCTTTTTCTGACACCACTAGAAGGTTTGCTTCCTTTGTGTGGCAGACACTTCCTTCAACGAGAGCTTTTCTCATCCAGGGGAGGCAGCACTGGTACATGATCCAATCCATATGTATAAAAAGGCATGTTGTACCTCTTGCACCTCCTTGCCCCTTGGCTCCTCTGCCCACAGTGGCGTTCTCTGTACCCGTCTGCCAAATGACGCAGGCTAAGATTTCATGCCTCCAACAAAATGGGCGGAGGTCTGCAGGAGCCTGCGCTGGAGTCAGTGGGTTCTTTGTAAGGTGGAACAAGATTTGACCATCCCTCTCTGGGAACTCTGCAGGCAGCTCTATGCATGATGAATCTGGCAGGATCCCCTCATGTAACACGGAGTACCAAAATGGGTACGCCTGAGGTTTCTTGTGAGCTTGAGCAGGGCCCTGCTGGCTTTGAAGAAAGGTCTATTCTAATCCAATTGCAGTTTCAGTAGCCGAACAAAGGCCTACAGGAACCGAGCATCATCACTGCACCCTCCATCCTGCCTGCCATGCTGGAAGTGACATTTTCCAGTTTCCATTTGTTCCAGGGGAACAAATAAACTGGCTCCATAAATGTATCTACATCCCTTTTAAAGCCGCCCATGTTGACACTCACCACTCCATCATGTGGTAGTGAATTCTGTGATATACTGTATTTTTCGCTCCATAAGACTCACCTTTCCATAAGATGCACCAATTTTTAGAAGAAAACAGGAAAATATAATCTGTTTTCTTCACTCCATAAGACGCACATACTTTCTACCACCCCTGTTTTGTGGGGAAAAATTGCGTCTTATGGTGTGAAAAATACGGTAACTAAGCATCCTTGATGATTACACCTGTGCCCTTCCACAGAAATCATAATGTGTGTTTCTGCCCTCCAGCACAGTCTTGTGTGGTGTGTGTCTTACTGAGGGCAATTTTGGCAGATGAACCCAAGATCAGTGGGTATAGGGCTGCCCCCAAAGCATGTGGGACAAAACTGTAGCCGGGAAAGGTGTATTGCCTGCGCCCCGTTATACTTTCTTTGTGATGTAACATGCCATTCCAGTTTGTTCCTTAGCAGGGCTGTGGCCAGAAATGGGAAGGGGTAGTGCTGAAAGGCTGTACGGCCAGCATGGTGGACGACCGCTTATACAGATGACCTTGTGCCCTGACTTTGTATTCGCTGCCCTGTCGTGTAATGCCCTCCATTTTTCATCCCTCCCCCCCCCAGTGCCATCGAGGAGCTCAGCTCTGAGCAGTCACTTCGAGGGAGACAACTTTTGTTTTTTGTTTTTTTTTCATTTGTGCTGCATTCAGAAGATGGAACCATTTTTGTTTTTGTTTGTTTGGTGGTTGTTGTTTTTTTTGCAAAGAAAAAAAGAGGTGGTTTTTGTTTTGTTTTTAAAAAAAGGAAATAACTGCAATAGACTTTTTGACACCGAGGAACCAAAGGAGGTTAGAGGGCTGGGTGGTGAAAATGATGTTCCCCCCAAAAACCCTTAGATGTACAGATGGACTAAGGACTCTTTTAATACGAGGAAAACATTTTTTTTTTTGTGGGTGCGTGTGTGTGTTCGCGTGTTTCTTTTCTTGTTAACAGCAACATCAAATGCTTTAGATGCCACAAAATTCCCCAGAGAAGAACTGTTCCCCCGCCCCCCTGGCGCTCGCTCTCTCTTTTGGGAAGATGACTCTGTACCTCTGGGAGAAAAAAAAATTTTTTTTTTTTGCTCCTTTGAATTTGTTTTGTTTCCTTTGGTCATTTAAGATTTTTTTTTAAAGGACAAATATGCAAAAGTGTTTGAATATCTTTTTCTCTCTCTTTTTTTGGTTGTTTTATAAGAAAAAGATGCTCTGAGAAAGTCCCCACCTTGCGACTATAGG